AGCAGCTGCAGAACATTTTGGTGTGTGTGTGTGTGTGTGTGTGTGTGTGAGTGTATGTGTATAAGCATTAAGGTATTTGCTAATAGTTACAGATTAATAATAAATGTGGCATCTTTGTCTTGACCCCTAAAACGATCCTGTGTAAGTTTGTGGGACAACAGGGGCAGCCATGCCCTGTGACAGCCTGTTTCTTAAAGCCCCAGCTCCTGGACTCATGTGATCATAGGATGAACTCAGCTTGAATTAAAATAAAAGCAAGTCTCTAGTCCAGTGGAGGGCAACCTGTGGCCCACAGGCCACACGTGGCCCAGCAGGATAATCCGCTGGCGGGCCATGAGACATTTTGTTCACATTGACCATCCGCAGGCACCGCAGGACTGTTTTGACTCCTGATTTGTGAACACTTGGGCTTGGCGATAGTGGCTAACAGACTCTTGTGAATGCAATCCTGCTTTGTTCTTGATTATTGTGTTCATCTAAAGGTCCATATGATCACTCTTTTTTTTGGTAGTAGTACTATAGTAATGCCTCGGTCATGGACTAGGACCCCACTGTGCTAGGGGCTGTACAAACACAGCACACAAAGATGGTCCATACCCCAAAGAGCATATAAACAGAGGGTGAAGTTCTGGCCCCCTTGACATTAACAGCGAAAGTCCCATTGACCTCAGTGGGGCTAGGATTTAAATCTGAACCCTACATTCATGACAACACACTGCTCACGCTTTTGATCCAATTTCTTTTATGGGCTCATAGCCTGGAATTGCTGGGGCTCAGAGGTCACAGAAACGAGCAAGGTGTAAATACTTAGGGCAGTGGGGTAATACGCATCTGCTCAGCCATTACTGCCTTAATAAATAACCAAGATAAAAAACATTTCAAGGAGCATATATAGGTGCGCACAAACCCCCTTCCCAGGAGGGTCAGTAAAGGGCTGGACAAGGTGATGGGGGGACGGTGCGAGAGTCATAGAGGGCAGGATAGGGAGGGGACAGGGGCTGTGTGGGTCAGAGGGGCAGCATGGGAAGAGGACGGGGGGGCCTCATGGCGGTCACGGAAGGCAGGACGGGAAAGGGACGGAAGAACAACATGGGTGTCCACAAAGTGCAGCATCTGTGCCCCGCAGAACTTTTATCCCTGGAGATGCTGTACGAAATCGAGAACCCAGCTTAACTCTCAGATCCCAGAAGCGAGCTTGTGGTGCTGGCAGCTAAAGGGGGTGCGGGTGGGGGTGGGGAGGAACCCCAGCAGCATCTGTTTACTTGTAAAATGAGCCCATCTGATCTGGAGACACCAAGAGATGATAAATCAGTACTCCTAAGGTGCAGTTTTTTGCTCTCGGTTTTCAGAGTCGAACTGTGATTTAAGTCCTTCATTTCTGGCATTCCCCTGCATGTCCGTGTTACTTTCCCTTCATCTATTACGCATACGGTTTGTTGCAAATCCAGCTTCTCACGGTGTAGCACCTTGAAGAGCTGACTGCAGTCTCCGTCAGAAATGCGCAGTTTGCATCTCCTCTGACTTCAAACCTGGAAAGAACAGCAAGATGTGGCTTGTAAGCACCCGTCATGGCCCTGCCTCAGTTTCCCTCCGAGGTTCCTGGAAATCAGCCACTCAGCACAAAAGTCTTTAAAACCGTATCACCCTCTTCTTGGGGTCTAATGTACTGAACATAGTCCGGCTCCCAAAGTCAGCCTCCTTTCACCCACCTCTCTAGGTTCAGGGTTTCCACAGTGCTGCTACCTGGGACTGTGTGGTTCAAGTCAGCCTCTCCAGCCTGCACACACACTTCCTTTTAGACCAGGGTTTCACGGCCCTCTTTCCAGGGACCAGATGCTGGCTGAGTGCTTTTTTCCAGCAGCTCAGCCTCTGATTCACCAAAAGCCTCGCCCTTATCGTCTGATTGGGTCACATGATCTCCATTTTCCCCACCCACGAGAGTTGACTGCGTCACAGGTGGGGTTGAGACCCATGTCCCCTTAAAGGGCCAGCCACCCAGCGATTTGGCCAAAGCATTATTCTACGACGCAGGCCCCGATCACACACACAGCCTGTGGCAAAGCCAGGCATGGAAACCAGACCTCCTGGGTTCCAGCTTTAAACACAGCCCAGCCTGACTCAGCGTTCCAGATGAACAAAGAAACTCACAGGTTGTTGAATTTGGTGCCATTTGCCCATTTCCAGTGATGATCAGAGCCCCTCTGGAGACCAATCCACGGATCTGTGGTGCCTTTATATCGCAGTATGAAATCCTTACGGTGATAAAGAAGCAAAGAGGAAGCTCGTTATGTACAACGGCCTTCAGTGACTGCACACAGCATCATTCCACCCCACTCTTGTAGAAGAAGACTATAGTTCCATCACTCTATCTAGGCCCATTCCTGAGCATAACGTGGTTTGGTTTTGTAGGAAATGTCACAATGTCGCAAAGATCTGGCCTTCCTTCAGTCGCTCATTTTATTCCAAAGCGGTGTTGCAGGCTCTTCAGCCATGTCACCAGATGGACAAAAGTAACCCAGCGCGCCGTGCTCTCAAACTCTCCAGCAACATGCAAAGGGGACTGTTTCCTGACCCTAGCTGGTGCCACATCCGGGGCCACCCCAGAGATCTGTGGGTTCGCAGGACTGAACAAGATCTGGGAACTTCACCACACAACACCTGGTGCGACACCAGCCACCACGGGCACTCAGACTGGCGCAACGGTCCTTAGTAGACTATGTATGTTTGATGATGATCACTATGATGACTGTATGTCTACATTTTAGAGCAGGGGAAAATGGAAGTTCCATCTGGTGGGAAATTCTGAATTTTGGTTTTGTCCCAAATCAGGACAAAAAGTTAAAAGTTCGAAATTCTTCATGGAATGAAATATTTCATTTTGGGAAAATCAGACTGTTTCATTTCAGCCTTATCAAACTGATTCATTCTGATAATTTTTCATCAAAAACTGTCTAAATTGACAAATTCTATAAAAATATTTTGATTCCCCAGCATTTCCCAATTGTTCTGTTTGACAATTTTTGACCTGCGCTAGTATATTTTTATAATGCACCATAGACACGCCTTAGTGCTTTGCAAAATCAATTAGTCATTAGCGTTCATCCCAAGGAGCTATTTGGATTATAAAATCTTTGCAGCACAGATTGTCTCTCACTGTCTGTGTGTCTGTGCAGTGCCCGGCACAATGGGGCCCTGATCTCAGCTGGGGCAGGGACTGTCTCTCGATGTGTGTCTGTGCAGCGCCCGGCACAACGGGGCCCTGATCTCAGCTG